TCCTGGAAAGCGCCAAACGCCTGAAAAGCTTGTTGTGGAGTTGTACTATTAGGGCTGAACTGTAGTGGCAAAATACTTGAAGGGGTTCCTCAGGGTAAGTGGCCAGTGGGCTTATATACTCTCTATTATCGGAATTACTATAAAGGGTGCGGTATAGGGCTAGCGTTGGCTTTTGTGCTTCTTCACCTGTTAAGATTCCTGTTAGAATTCTTTGCTTGGGAGGCTGGTAACTTTCTCACATCATTTCTTATTGTATACTCCCAGTAACTTCATTACCTGTCGCTACATATAACAAATTGTTTACGCTAAATATTTTCATCAATTCTACTACAACAGGGTACTAACTGCTGATAAGCTATGTCTTGTTTTTTTACAACCAATATGATTCTAGTCACTTACTTGACAATTAGCCGACAATAAACGATTATTCAATATTGATTAGGTTAAAAAAAACAACAATAACAAATGCAAAAAATAAAAACCAATACCATGTAAGCCACTCACCTTTCTTGTAAACCTCATTGACCGCACCAAAGTCATTCAGATTCTACTACAACAGGGTACTAACTGCTGATAAGCTATGTCTTGTTTTTTTTACAACCAATATAATTCTAGTCACCACTTGACAATTAGCCGACAATTAACGATTATTCAATATTGATTAGGTTAAAAAAAAACAACAATAACAAATGCAAAAAATAAAAACCAATACCATGTAAGCCACTCACCTTTCTTGTAAACCTCATTGACCGCACCAAAGTCATTCAGATCCTTTACATAAATTGTATTTTTGATCACTTTGTCAACGCCAGAGCCGGCGGCCTCCAGAGTGGCAACCAAGTTTTTCAAGGCCGCCTCGGTTTGCTGCTCTACACCGCCAGGCACCAGTTTAATGGTGTCTTTGTCCAAGCCCAAACAGCCGGATACATAGACAGTACGATCAGCAACGACAGCTTGACTGGAATATAAAAATGCATACATACATTTACTTATATATATATATATAGAATACTATACATAAATACACAAGGAAAGGCGTGCTTGTGTAGCATAAAAACTGAATGCTAGTTGGTGGCCAATGCTGGTGTGGAAGACTAATAATTTTAATGGCTTATTTTGACAAGTGTCAATTTATTCTTAATGCTCGCTTGTAGTTCTATACGCTGCTTTTTTTTATAAAATCATATTTGCATACCTATATGGCGCTACTGGTTTGGCCGCATTGTCGGTGCTAATCAATTTCCTCACAATTGTGGACATTTTTTTACAGCTGTGCTCTTTTTTTTAGTAGAAAACTTCGAGATTTTGTGTTCTGTACTTGTCAAACGTTGAGTACTGACTAAATAAGCAACTGACACTGGCACTCAATTGCAAGCTCGCGCTGCTGTAAATAGCTGATGATCAAGAGCAATAAGCAATAAAAAACGAAGTGAGCTGATATGAGCGGCTTTGGGAAGCACTTGTCTCCATGAACGCGCTAATTTTGTTATTGCAAGCCAATGTTGCCATTGTTTTTTTACTCTAAGTTTCTGGAAAAAAACTGAAACGAAGACTAAACAAAAATTGCTTTTATAAAACGGAACATTTAAATCGCATTTTGTTTTAGTAAAATACATTTTCATAATTTTTCTAAGTCGCTTTGTTTTTTTTTTTGAACATTTAATTCGATACCTCAAATTTATTACCTCCCGAAGCATTTTTTAAAGAAATTCTTAGCTCTTAAAATACCAACGAGTGCTGGAATTTCTAGTTTACTTCTTGTTTCATTCAAATTTATATGGGAATATATACTTTCCACATTTTCTGTGGCAGCTGGAATGCAAAGGACAGCTGAAACCATTTCTTTGAAATAAGAAAACGCTGCCGAGTGGTTCAAAACTGGAATTAACTGTTCGTAATTCACTGCAGCCTGCCTTCATTTTTAAACCAATTTGATTATTATTTTTTTTTATGATAGCTTAAAAAACTAGCAAAGGACCAGTTGAGCTCGATTTTGAAATTTTTAATTTTTATATAAAATTTTTTAGTGCAAAGGGCAGAAAAAGTGGCAACTTTGAAGACAATAGATTCTCCTGCTCCCGTTAATGAATGTTACATTATAAAAATCACTTCAAAAAAATTATAGGGTTTCCCCAAAACGAAAAATATTTCACAACAAAAATTTTAAATATTATTAAAAAAAAGTGTCAAACTTTCATCACAATTTAAATTTTTTAATTTTTAGAAAAATTTTAAGTATGCAGTTTTATTATCATTAAATTAATTAGATTATTAAGTATAATTTTTCTTCGCTAACATTTCGAGCATATCTATCATGTAGCTTATATTCTTGTTATATATACCCACTATTATACGCTAAATTTTTCTAAAAACTCAAAACAAAAATTTTAATTTTTGTAAACTTTTTTTTATAAATTTTAAAATTTTTGTTGTGAATTTTTTTTCATGTGGAGGGAACGCTACAATTGTTTTCAATTAGTTTTTGTTATATAACATTTATTAACTGGAACTGGAGAATCGAGTTTTTCAAAACTCGGGATCAACTGGGCAAATCAAATTGATTGAAAAATTAGCGTGCCAGTGAATTATGAATAATAAATTCCAATTTGGAACCACTGCGCTCTGCTCCCTCCATCGTCCTCTTTTACTTAAAAAATTTAATTACAAAGAAAAACGAAAGAGAAATTTTAATTTATTCGTTAAAATCGGAAATTACAAAAAAAAAAATGTGCTGATCTAAAAAGCTGTAATTTACAGTTAAAACTGTGAATCTGGCAACATTGTTGCAAGCATATGTTTTCAGTTGGTACATATGTATGTATGTATGCAGTGTTGCCGTTGGGCGACTAAAGCGGGAATTAGACCCTTTTTAAGAGCCAATACCCTTTTACCAGACTTTTTCAAAAATTTTGATTTTTTTACCCTTTTCCAAAATTATGTGCGACTTTTGCCCCTTCTCAGATATATTTTTAGGAAATGTTAACAGAGCCATGCTACTCAAAAATATTTCCTACTGTAAGTACCAAAAAATTAATCGCTTAAAACTTTAAATGATCAAGTTCCAGATTTCTGTGTATGTTTGCGAATCTGTTTTGTGCAAAGCTTGTGGAGCTATTTTTCTATTTAAATTCAACAGCAGAACGTTCTAGCAGCGAAAAGAACTTTTATTACATGTAAATTTAATTTTGACTTTGGTTCTCAGATTTATTCTTTTACTAGTAAAGGAAAGCAAAAATAATATGGTGACCTTTTTTCATGAATGGCCCCTTTTTTGCAACTTTCTGAAAATTCTCAACGGCAACACTGTATGTTTGTATACATAGTTTCCACGATATTTCTCTTATATCTTTCCCTCGCTCTCTCTCTCTCTATTTGCCTTAAATTTGAATTTTTTTGTACTTAATTTCAATACTTAAGGTAATCAATTGTTCTCAGTTTATCAGCAGCACTCATTGATAGCACCCGCTGTATAATTATTTACATATGTATGTATATACATTAGGGTGATCCTTAAATGTAGAAAGCAAATTTTTATATCAGATTTTCTAAGCCTCAACTCCTATGTCGATGCTACTATAGTCGTATCAATATTTAATTTTTTTAGTCTCTATAGAGGAATCTGAACTTTGGCCCCTGTGCGACACGCCTTAACCGTCTCCAATCGGGACCAAAATTTGTATGTGATGTCTGTGACCGTGGTATTACCGTTTGAAGACTGAAAAAATCGCTCATTTGATTTTTTAAGGACCACCCTAATATACATATGTACCTATTTAAGTTCAATGTTCAGATGTTTTCATGCGTTCGAGTCCGTTAATTGCATTATTGCTATTTTTAATATTATCGCCATATGCAGAGATTCTCGAAAGTATAAATACAATAAATCAATTCGACATTTAAAAAGTAAGTACATACACACATACATACTATGTATAGGTTTCGCAACTGCCGCGAGGCTTTGTTCCGCAGTGCAGCTTCGAATCAGAACGTACGGCCACAGCAGTGTAGCGGCATCCTTATCAGGGCGAATAGACTACGTGACCTCGCATCTGAGTTTCGAAAGGTCTCTAGAAGCCACAATACGCAAGGTACATCTGCATAGGCGGTTCTAAAATTTACGAAGAAGTAGGGCATTGAACCGGAAATGCATAGGTCCTTTCAGATACCAGATCACTGCAGTATCTATCCAACTGAGGTCTCTGCAAGAACGAAAGCGACAGAGATATTATATGAAATTAACCCACCTAGCGAGCTATAAACATTTACATACATAGATAGTCAGGCGGTGATTAAGCCTCTACTTTCAAATAAAACCAATTCGATTACCCCGCAGACTGTAAGGAGGCTAGCAGTTTCTAAAACCGTCCACCTATATTGGGTCCCAGGACACACAAATTATGTGTATTTCATTCTATAGGAAATTTACTGATTTTATACTATGACGACACAAATTATGTGTATTCCATTCTATAGGAAATTTACTGATTTTATACTATGACGAAGAGGCATAGCGCCGAGACTTTTGGTAGGATTGGTTGGCCAGTGTAACTATCACGAGGAAACTGTGGAGCATATAATTTGCGAGTGTCCATCCTTCAGCAGGCAAAGACCTGCGTTAACCGGCAAGGCAAATTCACCAAAGGAACGGCAATTTTCTTTAATATTGCGTGAAAGCACTGATTCATGGGGGGTAAATGTATCTGGCAACGCTATAGACGTTATACTTGCCTAGGTGGGACCTCTTATGGTCAGCCAGCATAACCTAACATACAAAATATATCATTACTTAGAGTACAACTCCACAACAAGCTTTTCA